GTTAGGGATCTGTTCTCCATGAATTTGTATATGCTTTTATGAACCTATCTTCCCCCACAAGCTCCCGTGGCAACCCATTCCAGAGCTCAGTAGAAGCTGTATGCATTGCTTTTTCATTACCTTTTGAAATCTGCTTCCTACTAGATCCTTAGTCCTCACACACAGTACTTTGAGAACAAGAGTTATGTGTTCAGTTTATGTACCACACTGACTTTTGTGTTAACTTCTCTCATGGTCTCACACCCCCTTCTCCACCTGGGTGTTCTCAGGTTTATGTTCCATACAATATTCAATATTGTGCATTACAAAATTTGAACACCTGATGCTTTAATATTGCTGCTGATGTTGGTTTGCACTATCTGCTTCTTTGTATGAATAGCAGAGATGAAGGCAGGCATATTAACGTGGCATATCTGTTTTAAATTGTTGCAAATGTAGCAATTAATGTACAGTTCTGATGTATTCACGTGCAGCTCCTCTTGAATTAAATGAAAGCCAAGTACGTGTTCAAGGGACACTATATCCTTAAAAATGTGGATTTAAGTGTTGTGATCAGAGTGGTCAAGTTTTATGAAATTTCTGGTGATAAGGAAATGATTTGTGCTTTCTAGTATCTCAAAGAAAAAAAATAAAAAAAAGTCTTGTGTCTGATACTTATCAATTCCATTTCCATCTCTGATGCAATCTGCTGGAGAGACATTGTGCGAGGTCTTTTAATCTGTCTGTGCTTTAGATTCTTGGTCACAGTAAATTTTGTCAGGCTTTCTGCATTTAGGTTCCTCGGCTCTCTGGGGAATTTCTTTCGGTAACACAGAAACTATTTCTTCACTGTCTCCTTGCCTGTGCTCCCTGGTTCCTTGTAAGGGAGCACAGTGATGAGTGGGAGAACATTGCACAGCTCACACAGGAGGGCAGTGCACCTGGTCTGTGTTGGTGCACGTGTCTGCATGGTCCCTGGTGTCTCAACAATGGTGATGCTGGGGGGGGTATTTAAATTTCCAACACAGAACTAGATAAAAGTTGCCTCAATGTTCCTACAAACTGGAAAGCTACTAATTGTATCAACAATTTCACGTCAGTGGAAAGCAGGGTGGCTCTTGGTAACGTTTATGTGAGCAAGAGAGATCGTATATCTTGAAAGAAACAACTTTTCTTCAATGAAAAAACTAAATGATGTATTGTTAGCATTAGATAGCATGGGGATACAAGTATGTACAGCTTACTATTATTTTTTGACTTAGGTGGTTTAACTGCACTTCAGGGCTGAATGGTTTACTTTTCTGATGGAAAATTTTTTGAAGCCAAATATCTCTGATAGCAAACGTGATCATTTAGGTGCAACAGGTAGCAGCTGAAAGCTGAGTTGTGCCAACTGACCTCATGCATGTTGTCCCAGCTGCAGAGTAAAATCATTGCCTGAGAGCAACCTTTGAACCTGAGAGTCATCTTTGGAAATGAGTGTTCTGAGCTGCAAGTCAGTACCTGGGACAAGGAGCTGTCTAAACTAATTTCTTACGCTGCGGATGAGTAGAGTTAAGGCATGTTAAAGGATGAAACATGATGGTGAATGAGTATTGGAATAACCTGCTACAGCACATGAACAAGTATGACTGTTTCAGCAATTCCCCCACACCATCTAATCTGATGATCCAGAATCTTTATCTTTTATTCTGTGGCACTAATTTATGATGGATACAGTTGAAAGTAAAATGCTTCAATAAAGTGTAACAGCCAGGTTGCTGCAGTTTTGATGGAAATACAGTCATAACATGAAGTAGTCTTCATCCTTGGGCTGCTTGGCAGTTAAATCACTAACGATGGTAAACAATTTTGATGCAATAACCTGAATCTCCCCATGTGGGAATTACAAAAATGATATAGTGGTTGCTCTAGTTAGTCACTACTTTTAACTTCTTTATACTTAGGCCTTATACAGAAAATTAATATTTTTCCTTAGAACTACTTATTTTTTCTCAAAAAAATCAGAAGAATCTTCACTGAAATCAATGGAGTATGAATGATACATAATACCTTGTAAGTGCTGAATCATTAAATAGCATTTAATTGAGCAGAGCAATGAAGTAACTCAAGAATGGGATCCTACTAAAATTTATATATCTCCTTGCAAGGACTACAATGTGAAATGTATTCAGTTTTCTGTACTCTGACCAGCTGTTACTACTGGAGAGGATGGTGCATGCTGTATTTTCACTGTGCTGATTCTCACTCCTTCCTCATTGTGGTAATGTGTACCTAAGGCTCTGGGAACACATGATCCAGTTAACCAAGTGGATTCTGTGACCTCGTGTCATGCACTGTGACAGATGCATTTTGATTTTTTTTCAAACTGCAAAAGTTGGTTTTGCTGATGGGCAGGATAAGCAGGATTGCAATGACCTTGTATTTTTCCTGTTTGCGAGAATTAAAATAAAATAAAATAAAGTGGTAAAGTTCAAAAAATGGTGAGCTCTCCTCTGAAAATCAATGTCTTGTAGCAGCAGCCAGATAATGAAAATAAATAACCAGGGTGTGCATGGATGGTCCTTGTCTTAGTTACCATTTAGCAGCTCTTATCTGTTATGAAAACCTGTAATGGTCCAGTCCCCACTGGAAGGGAGGATGAGCATTCAATTGCGTGAGCAAAGAATGTATTTGTTCTAAAGGATATATGTTTAAAAAATAAAGTTCAGTTTTCCCCATATTCCTTTTTAAAAATATAAAACAGGCTGATCTTGTTCTAGTATATGGCACACTGAATATTTTTATGCTCTTGTTTACACAAAGTCTATTACTAGATCACAGTCATCCCCCAGAATTATGAAAGCATATCTGTCTAATAATTATATTGTTATTGATCATAAATAATTTAAAATTAATCATAATCATTTAAAATATTTCATCTGCACTCCTTCAGTAAATTCGTGAAGAACTAAGAAGGGCTATTTTGATAGGCATTGATACTTGAAATGTTTACTACTGTCGTTGTCATCGCTCCTTGAATCCCTTTGTTCTTCATCCTGCCCCAAATTTTCATTACCTTCTTCTGATTTTATCTTTTCAAATTCAGTAAAGGCTTTGCTCTTGGGACCTTTTCAAAATTCAGTAAAGCCTTTGCTCTTGGGACTTTGTCTTTCTGTTTGCTTTATGAAATACCTGTCCTTTTTAAGTATGCTGCAAAATAACAGTAGTATCCTGAGGCATGAAATGGCTTGAGATCCTCAGCACTTTCCACTGGATTCTTTTAGCTGGGAAGACGAGTCGTTTGTCATCTCTGGAGAAAAGAGACATGAGCACCAGAAGAGAGGTTTTATAGGAACAGCTGATGTCTGTGTGGAGGAAGCAGAGGTTCCTCAGGGGCTGCAGAAAGCTCTGCCAGTGGTTGTACCTGTTTAGGAAAACATGCCTCTTAAATGAAAGTCAGTGTGCATTTGGTGAATAAGTTGCAGGCTGCCTCACATCTTGGCTCAGTTTGGGGCATATGGTTTAGTTGAGAGGGAGAGATTTTTACCTAAGTAAAAAGTTTTGTGACCTAGCTGCCATCTTGGTGCAGAGCTACTGTCTTTACTTTTCTTGGTATATCATTTTTCCAATTTATCTTCATTTTCTGTACTGGCAATCAACTGGGTTGAATTAACTTGTGTTTTTTTTAAAAAGGCAAGACTAAGATTCACCATGTGGTTAAGTTATGTGTGGTTAATTGCCTACAATGCTTTATCAAAATAGTAACTCTGTGAAGTGGGTGGATAAAATAATGTTAATATATGTAACTTCGGTGACTTTCCTCAGTGTTTGATTTCTGCTGCTCTCCCTAACTGAACTTTCTGATCATTTGTGATGGAACTTACAGAAATATTAAAAAAAAAAAAAATAAAAAAAAATTGATAACACAGTATACTGACAAGTTTAGAAAGCCAGAGTTGGGTTTCTCTGTTTTCATGGGGGCCAGGTTGGGAGGAGGCACTGGTTGCACTGGGGTATCAGTCCATAGAAGTGAGTATGCATTATCCATAATGCTACATATAACCATTAGTCTGTCTCTTCCAAGGTGAATGTGTGCTGTTTCATTATGTGCTGATTGTGGGGTACTGGTAAGGTCAAAGTTTTATCTGTGGATTAGAAAAGAATTTGTGAAGCCTCAAAAATAGATGCTGTGTATAAACCTCCCGGTAAGTTTCTGTGTACCTCCTAGTGCCAGGTACAAGCCTCATCTGCATGATGATGCCAGCTTCAAGAACATTCATGCTGTCTTGGCGCCTCAGGGAGAAAGGATGTGTGCTTCAAGGCTGGGTTTCAACCGAGGACACAGCATCTCACCTGCATACAGAGGGGCTTTGCTGTATTATATCTCTGTGTACACATATCATGGTGCATTCTGGTTTGAGATCAGGCTTGTACCCTAGGCTCTTGCAGGGCTGGTGTATCTCAGAGGTAAACACTTTTTATCATGAAATACAGGTAATTGGATGGCTTCAACACTGAACAGACAGCTGTGTATTTAAATGTGACCTTATACCCAGTCAGTTCATAACCTGCATTTTGAATACGGTATTTAGGTAAATGTTTCACTGAGCTTGAGGAATTGTTAAAACCGACACCACAAGGGTATGCTAATATAATTAGATGCCTTGCAGTGTATTTGGCCTTGTTTGGGCTCAGTTGCAGTTCAACCAGATGCAAAAATCTGTAGACAGTAACTTGTATGCTACTGAAACAAGCCTAGCTGGGCAAAGGTGAGATCCACATGTCGAAGGTCGTGGTAGAGGCAGCTGCCAGAAGATTTGCCAGTGAGACTTCGTATTTCCAGCTGAGAGAGGACCTTGGAGGAGGCTTCAAAGCAGTAAGTACAACTGGACATGTCCATGAGAACTTGGCTGCTGGGGTGGGGTTTTTTTATTAGTAGGAGGTTGTTCACTGTGTGTTGAAGTTATATTGCTACAGGAGGAGAGGCTCCAAATGCCCAATCTGCACCACATTTATGCAGCTGGAGTGAATCAGTGTTACTTTGTCCTTTTCCTGCTTGAAGGTGCTGTGTAGATGTCAAGTCCCATTCAGTAAATGATGCAAGGATTTGGAAAGCAGAAGGTAAGTATCTCAATAAATGCTCCATGACAACAGTGTGCTTGTGATGTATATTACAATTGTATAGAAAAATCAATGTTTTTGACAGTGAACTAAATCTTTCTGTGTCCTCTATGCCTAGAACGGGTAGAGATGGTGCCCTGCCAGTAATTGCTGGAAGCGGAGGAGAAGGGTAAGCAGTGTGGAAAAATTGGCAATGCTCTGTGTAGAGCACTGAGTTATTTTTTCATGAGCTTCCTTTTCTTTTCTTTTGCAGGAGCGGTAGGATATTGGCACGTGGAGAAGTGCAGAGATATTCCTACTCTGGCTGATTGTTTTTAATAAAGTTATTTTTATAGTAATTGAAAATTGTCTCATGATCCCCTTTCCTGCATCAATTTATCCTCGTTTCGTACGTGTCTCTGCTGAAAAATGCTGTTTATCCAGTTGCCAAACGCAGGAGCCCAACAGTTTTCTGGGAAACGAGTGTGAGCAGCAGAAAAGAAGTGGGGGGAAACAAGTACTGTGTATGAGCGTGGAGGTATTGTTTTTGTATGCTCAATTCTTAACAACAGTTATGATAATCACAGAATCGCAAACTGTTGCATGCAGATGACATCAAAAAAGATAACTTTTTTGTTGACCACTGCTGACTTTTCTTCTTTGAACGGTTAAATAAATCACCATGAGGTATTTTCATGTGGTATGAATTCAGAATTTTCAGACACCATTTGGACCATGTTTGTATAATTTACTCACTACAGTTACTTTTATTTCATCAGTTATCCAGTAATTCTCATATGAATTGATGTAATCCTTTTTTTTATTTTTATGATAAATTAATTAATTTACCATGCCTGCATTAGCAAGTAAACTCTATTGTAATATAGTATTTCTCTATGGTTATTCTTTTACATCTCTTGGTAATTCTGCATTTAACATTCAAATTGAAAGGAAAATCAAAATGGAAATATAAAATAATAACCTGGTAATGGAGGAACATAAAATGGGACAGTGTTTAAGTTTTCATCAGAATTAACTGAAACAATTTAGGGTCCTTGCTGTTTGATAGCAAACTACAAAGTAACAGAGAAGAGCTAGACAAAATTAATTAGACCAAGCAGTTTACAGGAGATGAGAGTGAGAGAAAAGCAGTTTATTTGCAATTAAGAGTGATAATACTTCTATTAGTAGTTTCACACACATTGCTGTTAACTGCTGGGACTGTAAGTTGTTTCTGTCATTGAAATGACGACCTTGGTCGCCAGAAGTAATGAAAAGAAGATGGAGTTAAATCTTCTGCAGAAGTTCCATGTGGCAGTGCCCTGCCTAGGCCTGGCCTCCATCGTTTTGGTGACCAGCAGCACTTGCAGCCACCTTGCCAGGCCACTGTGCCATAAGGAGGGTAAAGCTCTTCAGTGCTGTAAAGACTTGAGTGTCTCAGTGCAAGCCAGGAACATTTAAAATTGATGCCTACAAAGACTTTGGGTGTTTTCAGAGTATTAGTTGACTGTAAATTTTGAGAATTGAAGTGTTGAACTTAATAAGACTTGCTTTTGTCTTGCTCGTGATTTCTCGCTGAAACACATGGAAATCAGTGGATATTACGATAATATTTGTGTTATTTCTAATGTAATTTACATAACCTGAAATCAGGACCAAGCATGTGACTATATTCACATATGAAATGAGCCTGTCCTTTTCCTGTTTGGCTCCAAATCATCTAAATCTAAAAGAACAGGTAACTCTCTCAACAGTAGTTACACAACTGAGTCTGTATAAGTAATATTGTGCAATTGTGCAAAGCTAGGAATATCTTCCTTTCCTCGCTTGAACTTTCTTCTGCTTCCTACCTTTTCTCTTTTGTACCCTCTTGATTGTTTTCTTTTTTTCTATACCTCTGTGAACTTTCCTTTTCTGTTGGTTTCATAAATCTGCTGATCAATGAACTTACTCTGTTTAAGTGTGTTGCTGTTTACAGGAGAAACTACAAATCAGTTGTATCACAACTGCTCTATTTGGCTTTAATGGAGAGTACAGCATGCACACACTGAAGTTTATTCATTTGTAATTATGATGTTCCCTCCTGTACCCAGAAGTGATGCAGCATTTGAAAAATGGAAGTCACAATATAAACTAAGTTGCTCAGCTCATAAAATAGGAATGTTCAGAAAATGAATACAGCAGTGTTAAATACAGTTAATCAACTCTGAAAAAAACCAAAAATATGTTTTTATCACTATAATTTGTACTTGCACGGGATATTAATGAAAAATACCAGATACCTTGCTGTCTGTATTTATTCTACACTGTGCTTATTACTCTCATTCAACTAATTTAAATTTGTTTTCAAGATAAGGACAATTTACTCCTGAGGAGGGAAGTTTAGATGTCTTCTGTGCTGTATTTTTATTTGAGTCTGCAGAGTCTGTGCATTGAATATAAGGCCAGCTAGGCCGGAGATTTTGTACATCGCAGTGGATTGACAGGGTAGACCTGTAAAATTGTTGAACTATAAATAGTTACATGGAGTGCATTGTTAGGATGTGTAACATAAAAAGATAAGACTTTATTAAATTCAAATTAATAATCTGCCTCAGAATAGCACTGTGACTTCTGTCGATTTTTGCTGCATGAAATTTTTTTATGCTTCTGTACTTTAGGTAATGGACTTAAGTCAAAAAGAAGAAAGTGGCCTTGGTTAAGTGTTTGTTAAATGAATGATGCAGAGAAAATCACCAAAACAATTAAACATATTATTTCAGTAATTTTTTTTCCTTGTAAATCTCTCTAGTGTGCTTTTAAAATTTCTCTTGCCCATTGGAAAGTCTCTTTTCAAGGTAAGGTAGTACCGGGGCATCTCATTCTTTCAGTTAGTGACTCTTGTCTTGAAATAAGATGGCTGATCATTGGTGGGAGAAGGTGAGTGAGTCCTCTAAAAATCCTACAGAAACAAATCAAACCCTATTAAATTAATTTATTCCATAAAGTGACTTAAAAATGAACTGGAGAGAAAAAGTAGATGTAATTGTCCTAAGTTATGTTATTTCTTTGAATTTAAATAGGTATTGATGTGGGGTTTTTTTCCAAAAATTACTTATTTTAAGCTACATGTTCTAGTCAAGATTTTGTTCCAATAAAACTATGAAAAACTATTCAATAAAACCTCAGGAAAAATGTAGATATTCTATTACTTATTTTTTGCTGAATAAAACTGGCAATTTGAGAGAACTACGCTGGATGGTCAATATCTTACTTGTCAGTGTTGGGTCAAAGTTTATTATTTGACTCTGATGCAATTGGTGTGGATAGAGGACATCTGAAAAACAATTAAAATGTATGCCTTGGTGTCGATGCTGTTTAATTGAACTTTTATGGCAGGTGTTGTTCTGCACAAGGGGTGAGTAATGTAATACCATTGTCTTGCTTTTTCGAGTGATTTGTAATTTTTTCTATATCTTTTAATAGTTGGTAGTATTCATGTATCAGCTATTTTTATCTTTTCATTGCCTCAATACCTTTATGGCTTGGATTTAGCATCTGTAGGCCATGAATCAGTTTGGTGATCATCCTGTTCGGTCTGTTCATTCGTGTGCAGTGAAAATCTAACAGTCCTTGTGCAAAGAAAATTCAGAATCACCTATAAGTTTGCAGCTGTAACTCTTATTGTGACAAATGCCTTGTGAATTCAGTATTGAAATGTGCTTTTCAAATACCTTACTGCATGTCCAGCCTGGATTCCTGGATTCTGGTAGTTCTAGTTTACCATCTCACCTGTGAAGCAAAACTGGGACATAGCCTTTTCTCCTTTTTGGTACTGTGAAGAATGTGATGGGAAAACAGTTCACTTTTTAAGAAGCCTATTCCCTGCCTACCTGCACCCCAAAATATGCTCCATTTCATTAATTCCTTTTTCAAGTTAATTTCTAGAGTTTCTTCTCTCAATACAGTATGTTAATAAAAATTCATGAAAATAGCAATACGTGATTCACTTGTCTGGGAATTATCTTCCCATAAATACTTCCCATGATGTAACATTACTGTTTTCTCCCATTCTATACTCCTTATTCTTTATGGTGCCAAGGTGTGTACCATCAGTCATTTCATTATCCTTTAGTCATCTTTATTGCTTGCTGAGACTCTTTGATATCTTCATCTTATCCTTCTTTCTTTTGTTCTCAATGTTCTAAAAGATATTGATGCTCGTGTTGATAGCAGAGCTGTGCTGATAGACCTGCTTGCAAGGTCTTCTGCTGCTCAGAGGAGTCTGTTCCTCACTGTCATTACTCCTGTGTCACTGTTGTAGAGAATAGCTGTTTACCTGTTTACTTCCTTTAGGTGTTTTTCCTTTTCTATTTCATTGTTTAACACATCTCTGTTTGCAGCCATCTCTTACTCCCTGATTATTTTGGTATCACTATTCCTTCTGCTTTTGAAGCTATCTTTTTTTCCTTAAAAAAGTCTGTAATGTTAAATTTTCTGAATTATTCATAAGGCCATATATGAATACCTGCATCTATTATTCAGATCTTCTTATTTCTTTTATGCTAGAGCCTAAAACCTCTTTTATAATTCAGTAATAAATGAGAGCCTTCAGTTTGTTCAGAGTTCTTTTTGCTGACCTTATATTTATCTCCAAGGTCTCAACTGTCTTTTAATTAATTGTGTGGAGCCCTGTAGTGCAAGGAGCTACAGACTTGTTAAAATAATTTAGAGTATCCTTCCCTCTTTGCTATCTCTGTCTTTATGCACTAGCCTACCTGTGCAATATGTTTGAAGTGGTTCTTGGTCTAGAATATATTATTTACTAGCTATTCTATATAATTTACTAGCATACAAATATTTTTCTCCAATTCTTAATCTTTTATCTGAGAATATTACTTGACAGTTATTTCCATTTTACCTTTAAAGAGGTGCTAATTTAATTACAAAAAGGTTTATTTTGCTTTAAGCCACTTGCTCCACGTTCTTTTTTATTTCTTTTTTATTTCTGTTCCCCATTGTCTGAAACTTCTGTCCTGTAGTGCAGTAGTTGGTGTGCCTGTGAGCTCCCCACCTACTTAAAAAAAAGTATTTCTAGAATGGATGTCACAGAACCACTGAACGATTCAGAGTGGAATGTGAGCACCTGAAGGTCTCTGATGCTCAGAGCAGGGTCAGCTCAGGTGCCACCAGGCTGCTCAGCACTTTATCCAGCTTAATCTTTAAAAACCTGGGACTGCATGACTTTTCTAGGCAGCCTGTTCCAATGCTTGACTGTTCTAATGGGAAAAGGTTTTCTTTATATCGAGACAAAAGTCTCGATTTGTTATTTGTCTAGAAATATATGTGCTTGTCTGGAGTAATATATTTTCTGCCACTTGA